GCTGTTGTATACCGTCGAGCGGTGCGTCGAGGTAACAGAGCAACAGATATATATATATATATATATATCGGAGACATTCGTCACCGCGTGGACGTCGTATGCGGGATTGCGCCGACTTACCGGGGCTAATTGATCATCGAATATGGAGCACCGTCCCGTCTGCGAGACACTCGTGCAGGCCACCACGACAGCTGCCGCCGCCATTCATCGCTGCGTCGCTCCTTGCGAGAGGAGGCTGTTTCACACGAGTTGCACTTGCGACAAATCGCCCGTCGCGAACGACGCTGTTAATTTAACGCACCGGGAGAATCGCTCGGTGACCCCGGAGGAGCTCGCTTCACCCCCTTCGGATTCGTACGCCCAGCCGACAAACGAGAACCGTTCGCCGTCGACGGCCACGCATGACGACGGCTCAATCGAAGATCCGCTGGTCGATTACATGGAAAATGTGGAGGACGTAATGTCCGACGTAATGTCGGATTTATTGGAACGAATTTCGATACTGCCGTTCCTACTCAAGAATAAAAAGACGCTCGTCAAGATCGCGATGATCTTTTAAGTGACTTTTTTTTTTTAGGCTCTTTATAGAGCTCATAAGCGGAATTATTTAATTATTTATGCACACGTGTCGATTTTAATTAAATGCTGAATATTACGATGAATGTTTTTCCTCGAAATCGCGTTAAATAGCGTGACACATAACTTTATTTCTTTCTCACATTCAGATATTATACTTGCAAAGTATTAAAAAAATAATAGCACAGCTGTACGCAATAAATCCGACACGTGTTAAATTAAAGATGTTAAATACGTAGAATTTTTCCAAGCGTTAACGGAAACTTGTTGCGCCTAGAGTCCTAGATACCGGACGATGTTGCGATCGATAGCTCTCAGCTTAAGTTCTTTCCCGGCAATTATTTTAGATTGATACTGCGAGACGAGCGCGTTTGTGCCGGCGAGGGAGGAGGGAAGACTTTTTAATTATTCCCTTTCTTGCGTTCGGCTCTCGGGCGAACTAATGTCAGCGAAATCGATAACGCGATATCGCTGTAATCGACATGGATATAGCGTACGCGTTAATAGTTAATTATCAACCTACTGCGAAGCAATTAATGTAGCGGGCGTTCGCAAATGCACAAAGCGCGTGCACGCGCCAGATGACATTTACAAATGGCATAGAGAGAGACAGTAAAATTGTTTTCGAATATCTCGCATTTCAACCCGATGTTTCGATTACGTTATTAAATTATTTCGCACGGTAAATCGCCGTGTTTTCTAACCGGCATAACTTTGCGCCCACATAACTTTTTCGCGTGCAACCACGCACGCGGCGTATCCTCGCTATTTTATTGTCGCCATATACCTACCCCTTTACTTACTTGTTGCTATGTCGAGGGGAAAATTCCGATTTTCATCGGAAAAAAATTGAGGCTTACATTATATAATATCGGCGGGACGATCACTTCGCGGCGCGCTGCTTTTAATATACGCACACGTGGCCACTTTGAAAGAGCACGATACGTTGTTATCGGTTTAACGATCAACTTTAATGGTCACATCAGTTTATTGGATTGCCGGCTACAATAGCCCGCGAGTACGCTCCCCGCGAAAGGGGGAATTAATTGCGCATCGCGGATACGGGAAACGCAAGCGCGCAAACGGGTGGATATTATTGCGGGAACGCGTATTTTGTCGGTGGCAGGCCGTATGCCGCGACGCGAAGTTAATTATCCGTTTACAAGAATTAGCGTATCGGTAATTTCGGCCTTGGGGATCGAAATAGATCGATGACGGTAATTGTTCCGCGGCTAAATGCCCGCGGCAAATTACGGCGGATAAGATAATCGGGCCGTGTGCCATTCCGCAACGACGAGTCACCCGCATCGCGAAAATATTAGTGACGCGATTTGCCACGCGTCGTACGTCGTTCTTCTTGAAACAATTTGTACAACGACGATTCTGATCTCGCGCCTTTCGGCGAGATGCAAAATTTTCGCAACTTCGGGACACTAGCCCCGAGTATTTTCTCGTTGAAATTTTTAACGTTCGCCTTCGCATGCCAAACGTCGTAATATACAGCCTTAGAATCATTGTACGCATGACTTTGCGTAAATAACTACCTATTTAGCGTCGAATGGATCGGTCATGACGGTTTCACGACTCCGCTTTGCAGTCTTTGGCGACTTGTGCAATTCCCTTCGTAACTGAGCGGCGCGGTGACACCGGGGATTCTAATCTTTCCGAGGGACATCCGTTAAAATCGCGTTTTATGAAGAGTTAAATTACCTTCCTCCGAGCAAGCAATAGCAACGGCCGCGGTAGCAGCAGCAGCAGCAGCAGCAGCAGCAGCAGCAACAGCCTTGACCCCGTAATTAAAGCGTATTGAGTACGCGAGAGAAATCGTAAATATTTTCTGAGAAAATGCACGACTGATATTTCGCAATGAAATCGTGAAACACACTAATCGTGTGTTTACGCGGACCGATTAAAACTTCTGTAATTGCGTCGCTATGAAAAACGGTCTCGGAGAAAATATATATCGCAAATATGAAATTCTATATAATTCTATATAATAAATTGTACATATAATGAACATAAAATAGGAGAATAGAAAAATAGCCTTTTATAATCTTTTATAAATATTCAGAGATAACGATTAAATAAATAATTTTCTGCACAATGACAAGTAAATTGTTATATCGTAAAAGCGCCATTTGTGAAAATGTGACTTTTCTACGAATTAAGCTGTCCGACAAGTGAACTTTGATAGTTCTCTAATAGCGACAATGAAATTATATACAGCGGTCGGGCGAGAGAGACGGAGTGTCGACGTGTGCATCAAAGGGTTAACGGATAACGGCACGCTGAACGTGCGAGTGTCGTTGGCCGAGTTCGCCGAGTTGTCTCGTTTCGTGGAATTCAAATTACACGTAGCATAGAGCGACGACGGATATAGATCGGCACAGATCCTCGCATATGTCAAAGTGACGACGTGCTCGGAAGCGCGCGCGAATTATTTAGGAAGCCGCCGACTTCGTAATCGTTCCATCCATGTCAGGCTTTCGCCCTCCAACCTTTCTCCCCCCCCCCCTCCGTCATCCTCGCTCCACTCTCGTCCGCCTCTCAATCCACCTCTCGCGTTTACATCGTTTCGATCCCTCTAACGTTCGGGTTTCCGGGTGAAGTGGCGGTGGCAGCGGCTACGAGAGAGGGGAAGGAGGGAGAAAACGACGGCGAGGTCGGTGACGCGAGTGGAACCTCGGCGGAGTATAGAGTGGTTGGATTTCAGACCTCGGTGGAGGGTAAGACGTATGCGAGGGGGTGGAACGTGATGGAGAGAAGGACCGTGGTGGTTGTGAGGAAGGCAAAAAGAGGGGGCGGCTTGTGCTGGTTGAAACAGCGCGTGCCGCTTCAGCGCCAGATGGCCCCGAAAGGACGACCGAGCGAGAGGAATAGAGAATGACAAAGGAGAGAAGAAGGGAGAATAGAGAAAGAGAGGGAAAGAAAAAGATGAAGGACTCTTCTAATCTCTGGCGTTTAGCTTGAGGCTGCTGGTTGCGTAAGACGAAAAGAACGGCATGGAGCGAGACACCGGGGACATAGCTCCCGGGGGGCCCAGGATGAAAGGCCGCGCCATTTCTTTTTTTTTCCTGTCGGGAATTTCGTGAGAAACATTTAACTGTGGATTTCGGGGTATCTCCTTCGTGCACAGGGACAAGGTGGTCGCTTTCCGTTAACGTGGGTGGCATGGGGATTACGTACTCGTACGATCCCTTAGACTCTCGAACGGGAGACGAGTTAGAGGGGCCCGACGTTCCGATTATATTTCGCTTATCTAGTTTCTCGCGACGAAGAGGCTTATTTTGCAAACGATCGAATGTTTATACCACGGAGAGTTTGCGGCGATAGCCGGCGCGCGGAGAGATGCTAATGGGAAATATACGTTCATACGACGCGAGTATTGTTATTGGTGCACGGTGTAGGAAGAAATAAAGCTGACATGGGTTCTCGGAACGGAAGAACACACAGAGGGAGGGGGACTAACATTCGTGTCGAGAATCATTTATTCATGCGTGGCGTCATATAGCGATCGTGCCGCTTACGTTGCCCACGTTCTCCTTAAACACTGTTTTCTTATCGCGTCGAAATGCGTTTCGCCATTTCGATACGCCCGACATATACGCCCGATCAAGTTTTACATTAACCGAGGATCGGATTACGCATATCTAGACACGCGAGTAACTTATGTGCATTGCGAAACGTAAACAAAAGGCGGAATTCGCTAACGGTGTGTTATTCAACGTGCGAATATTCAAATTTGCAGAAATGAGTGAGGTAGCAGGCGCAATTCCACTTGTAAATTACTTGACTATCGTTTACGCAAAACTATGCGAGATACTTGTGTTTGTCCGTAAGATATCCGATCGAGTCTTTTCATGCCTCGAAACAAGAAGAAAAAAAAAAGGTACACACGATACGAGACTTAATGCATGCTAGGCGTTACGTGACCCGAGCGAGAAACGGGCTGAAAGAGAGAAAAAGAGAAATGAAAGAAAAAAAAAAGAGAGCGAAAGAGAAAGAGTCGTCGCCGCTGCCTCGCGGTGTGATTCGCGAAGATGCATGTAATAACGTGTGACGGCTCGTCGCTCTCGCCGAAAGCGAGCCGTCGTGATGAGATAGAGAGAGAAAGGAGCAGAAGTGCCCCACTCTATCCCGCCGGCAATTCGATCTTGGTTGAAGCGCGCGGCGGACGCGTCGTTGGCTGCAGGTGGTAGGGATCGTCGAACGCGGCGGAGTCGCACGAAGACGCACGAAGGGCGACGACGGCTCTGTCGCCGCGTCACTCCGGTTCTCCAGTCCAGTGTCAGCCGCCGTCGGTCGTGCGTCGTAGCGGTCGTCTCGTTCGTACGCCACGTGAGCAAGCGGGAGGAGGAAAGAGTGCGAGTGTATGCATTCTCGTTGTATGCGCGATAGTGATAGCGGCAACGGGAGCAGACGTAGGACGTACCGGCGGGGAACGCGAGTCTCGTTAGTGATGGATTTTCTCTCGTACGCCGCGTAGGCGGGCCAGACGGTCTACGTGCAAACGGGGCGCACGCGCCGGACGGAGGAGAGCGGCGTTTCAAAAGAGAGAGAGAAAGAGAGCGCTCTCTTTCTCCCTCGCCGTCGTGGTATCCGGAACCCACCCGCTTGCGCGCGCGCGCACGCGCGCGTGCGTGTATAATCCTCCTCCCCTCCCGCGCTCGTCTCGCTGTCGGTCGCGACGAAAGACGCGCGCGCGGTGAAAATACATCCTCGCCGTCTGGCGGCAGCGTCGAAGCGTTCAGTCAATTAGCCGTAATGGCACGACCTGCCGCGTCGGTCTCGGTCAATTAAGTGGTGATTAGTGCGCGGACTGTGTGCCGTCGTTCTCGCGCGTATATCTCTCTCTTTCTCTCTCCCCCTCCCCCGCATACGTGCCGCCCGTCCGTCGAGTCGCATCAGCCGATTCCAACGGCAGCCGCTTCCCGCGTGGAGGGGAGAAGGAAAAGGAGAAGGAGAGTTCTTGTTGCCACGACGAGAGAGCAACGCGCGTCTCGGTGTCGAACGTCACCGTGTCGCAAGGTCGGAAGGTGGACGGCGCTTCTCGGCGGTTCGACGGCGGTGCCTCTCTGCTCACGGCGGCGCGTCAAGTCGACGCGTCGGTTAACGCGCGTGTGCGTGCGCGCGCGCGCGCCTGCGTACGGTGGTAGAGCGAGCGCTCGCGGCAGTGGCGGCGGCGGGCCCGAGGCCGTAAATCACGCGTGGATGAGAGGAGACGAGGAGCAGTCGGTGCACACACCCGCGAGAATGCGAGCCGGCCGGTGATAGTCCGCCGATCGGAAGGGATCGTTCCGCAGAGCCGATTACGCGCGTCTCACGCTCGCGCGCCTGTCAAACGGCGACCCCGCCGATCGTTCGATAATACGTCACTCCAGATTCCAGTGAATACCGACGAGAGCTCGCGAACGGTGAGGAGATTCTCGTCGTCGGACCTAAATCTCTCGTCGCGTGGATTCACGTGCCGCGAGTGTGCGTGAATCGCGGAGCCGAAGACCGGTGAAAACGGAACACTTGAAGGACAGATGATGCCTCGCGATCGTGCACGTCCGCTCGCGAAGGAAATTCGTAGGTATCGCTGCGTTACCGAAATCTTCGTAACCGTCGTCGCCGTCGCCTCGGCATAGCTTCCTCCGCAACCGCGTCGACGCGCGTATCCACGTTCACTCGTTTTGTGCCAACGCTCGACGAGGGACCAGTCAAAATGGATTTCCGGGCGCCGCATCCGCTCGTGCACCCTTCGCACGCCGGACACCCTTACTATTATCCAGGTATTTTGATGCTTAACATGTTTCTCTACTACTACAACTTCTGTTTGAAAAGGAAAGCGTAATTTATGATCTCTTTTTATGACCTCAAACGATTTTACCAGAACATTCAAGAGAAATCTATAGGCAGCATATGTTAGGAAGCGATTGTAAAATTGAAGGCCAAAATAATAATAATCATATTTCCTCTTTGTTTAATAATAAAGGTTAGAATTTTGGAGACGAATGAATTCTCAGATTTCGAATTATAGACACAAAATGAAAATTATTTTCTTAAAATAAGAAAACAAAGTTTCTTAAAATAAGAAAACAAAGTTTCTTTTTTGCGACCCATGCAAAAATTCACATTTTATACACATTTAATTTAAACAATATTTATTCGATATATATTTAATATGTGATTCATATTTCATATTTGAGTGAAAGCAATCGGCTGTACAAACAACATAAACGTATGATTTTAATTCTCTTTATGATCCAATGTTCTCTATGATTGAAGAAAAATTACATAACTAGCAAACATTAATCTTGAAATACAAACTTAATCGTTGTAAGTAGACTCTTTGGTTATCCAATCGACACGACGATAAAATATTACGTTAAATTATAATAAAAAATGAAAGATATAAATATACATGAAGAAACACGACGTTATAAAAAATTAATTTAAACTTGAATTAATGTTAGTCAAGATCATAATATAATTTAACTTGGGATATTAAGAACGCTTTCTGATAATATTTGAACAAAGGAAAAATTCAAATATTTTTATTATTTTTAATAATAAAAATCTTCAAAATATAATGAGAAAATTATTAAAAATGTTTACAGGAAAAGTTTTATTCTTTTGCTTCAAACGCGACGGTAGGTTCCCTAATATGCATTCCGAGTATCGATAGCAGATCGCTTTCCGATCGCTCCTGATTCGGAGGCGTGCAAACACGCGCAAAGACTGCGTTACGAGTCGTGAAAGCCTCTCGGGTGCTAGGAGTGCGATCGGCGATGTGATGAACGCCATTCACGCGACAGCCGTTAACACGCGATGCACGTTTAATGCGCGCGTGATGTCGAGATCGTGTCGCGCGTGCGGTGCATCACACGCGCGGCAACAACTCCGTGTGCATCGGGAATACGCGATTAGGCTCTAACGGAGAGATCGACGCTGAATTATTTCGATCGCGTATCCCGCACGCTGCTACCTCTGCAGCACGGGGGCGATTTTGGAATCGGTAAAACGGGATTGGAAAGAGGGAACGGGAAATAAGCCTCCTGCAAAATACTCTGAATATCAAAATTACACGAAAATTACGCTCGCTTGATCTTTGAGTCTGTTTTTCAGAAATTGCCCGTTCTCTCTTCTCTGCAACTTTAAAAAACTTGAACTTCCCGGTGCATCATGTCGAGAGAAAACTTACGTCTTACGTTCTAATTGCAATTACATAATTGAACGTACAAAGTCATATCGATCACTCTCGACTGGTAACTGTTACTGACCTGGCCTCTCTCGCTACATGTCGTTTCAAAGTCGAGATGCATTTCTTCGCACCTATCTCGCGTTCGCACCTCTACCGAATAAATAAATACCGATACGGTGTTTTTAGGGGCGTTTATGCCGCCGGTAAATTTCACGGCGCGAGAGTTAATTGCAGCTGCGCTTGGATAACACTCCATCGGAAAAACGTGCTCGATTAAATTAACCCCGCTCTGTCTCTCTCTCTCTCTCACCTTCGCGTGTGCGCTCGCGCGACAAGAAGTTGCGCCGCGTTGCAGTTTCCAGGATTGGCCTTCCCCGCGATGTCTTTTTGCACGGTATCGAGAGCGGCGGAGGGGGTGCGGGGCGCAGGGCGCGAAAAGAGGACGGAAGGAGAGGTGGGGTGCGCGTCGTGGCGCAGGAAACGAGCGCGCAAACTTAACTCGCTCGGCTGCGAAGCCCGCGCATCCGACTGAGCGGCCGGCAATTTCCTTAACCACCTCGCTGCATCTCACCCCGCGGGCGATGCGTTCGCTTACGCGTGTAATTTCGATATCTCGCGAGTGTCAAACGGGACGGATCGCCTCGCATCCCGCGAGAGAGGAGGGTATCCGCGCGCCATGTTATTATGCCTCCTTTCCCGCCCGGTGACGCAATCTGTTCAGCCGCGACATACTGATGCATCATTAACATTTTATAATACTTAATAAATATTGAATGTTAACGCTAAAAAATATTTTAATGCGTTTCTTAACGTAACGCATTAGCGAACGTCGCGCGAACGTTAAAAAACCCGCTTTGGTATTAATGTTTCGTCGTATACAAACAGGTTTCTTTTTCCTGAAGTGTCTTGAAAAGATTTGAGGAGTACACAGTCCAATGGGTATATAATGATTTATCGCTTCGCGCGCGGCTATTAAGAGAAATATCAGTCGATCTCACGAAATACCAATAAATCCGCAGCGTACGCGGTTCTTTACCGAGCGGAAAAAGAGAATCCGCTAAGCGTCTGCCGTGGATAGCGGCGCAATCTCCCGGAACATTCGCTGTTATAGTCGCCGGGTTTTTTTCGCCACTGCACACACATACATATACACACATACACATACACACATACACATACGCGATCGCCATATCGATTGGGAGGTCGATGGCTCGTTTCGGAAAAACGTGCGAATTAACTGCTCGGTGCTTATACCGCGGCACAGGAAAATTAAAAGCGATGATGTGAGAAGAGCCGGGCGCGTTTGCAATTTCCAATCTCTCCTCCCCTCCGCTCCCTGCTTTCCCTCGGCTCGCCCAAGGGAATCGGTCGCGCGCTAGTCTTCATTAACGCAGCATAACATCATTAATTGCGCGGGTGTGACTTTTTTATCGGACGCTCGGAGATAAATATTAGCACTGCGAGTTAGTTATTTCGGCTTTAGTTATATCGACTTGCATCGCAGTGTGCGTGCGTGTCTTCGTGTTTATTCATTCTCGTTTATCGACTCTCTCTCTCTCTCTCTCTCTCTCTCTCTCTCTCTCTCTCTCTCTCTTCTTTCTCTGTCCCCGTCCGCATTTTGATATCGAGAAGCGGAGATAGCGGCTACAAGAACCGGTTGTTTATTAAATCAAAATCGAAACATTTCGGCGTCGAGTATCCTCTTCAAACGTTCGAATCGCCGTCGCAGTGTAGACGTTTTTTTAATAACACGATATCATCGCTCCCGACTTCTCCGATTGAGCTATCAGAATCAACCGGAAATTGTTACGAGCTTTAAAACGCGTGATTTCTAAAGAAGACGAGAACGGGCGTACGGCCGAATATCAATCACTTCGGTACCGCAACAGATTTCCGCCTCGATAACAGATTTTTTTTTTTTAGCGCGATATTTTCTGCCTTGCGCGCTTTGTCGGAGAAGCGTAGAAAAAAGCTTAGCCTTGGGTTACGGCGAACGTTTTTCCTCTTCGTGTTCGCGCGCGTGATATCGTTATCTCGTGCAACGCGCCGCACGTCGATTTGAATTCGCTACCTTTGATACCGCGCTCGCTGCAGCAATCGCGCTCGCATATTATCACGTACTTACGAAGCAACTGGAATACTTGAAATATTTAGATAACATTGAAAGGTGCATCTATTTAACGCCGAGCCGATAACGTCCCACGCGAATTTATGCAAGACGTCAATACCCAACCGCTCGCAACTCCCACGCGTTATATTTGCTCGTGGTTATTACTTCCACGCAAAAATCGCCACGTCGAGGCGAAGCGACGATCGCGGAAATCGCCGGAGATTCACTTACGTGATTACAATCCCTGGCACAGGGAGAATATACCCCCGTATATCGAAATCGCTCTCTCGCGCCGGAAAAGGTTAACTCCACTTTATTCGAGATTTATATCTTCCTCGATGATTGTCCAACTTCCATAGCAAACGACATCATTTCTTGCCGGCGAAACGGCCTGTCGCCTGAACCGTAAATCACTTCACAGCCGAGCGGTGGACATTGTCCCTTTGGCAATAATAAACGCTTCTTCTACGTCCCCCTCCCCTTCGCCATCTCTTCCACCGTTTCCCGGCCAGTTTCTCCGTTATCTATCCACCACGACCAATAAAACCACCTGACGTACGAGTGACGTTGCCATTTTTTGTATCACCGTCGACGCTTCGCGGGAAAAATTAACTATTTATCGATACGCCGCGAGATTTTTAACGGTTACCCGGTGATAATGAAAACCCCTCCGTCCCTCCTCTCTTTTCATTTCGCGTCTCTTCGTTTTCTCTCCTAACGATTTCCATAGCCGGCTCTTCGGTTATTCGTGCACGAGCGATAAAATGAAGTGCACTTTCGAGTGACGCCGCCACTTTCCCCGCCGCGCGAAAAATTAATTATCTATCAATACGGCTGGATTTTCAGGTAGCCCGCGTTTTTTCCGCCGAACGAGCGCGCGCGCGCACGCGCGTTCGTATCCGCGGAGTGAAAGCCGAAAAAAAGAGCATGACGGATTACGGTCCTGATATCACATGCCGCGGGATTATCTCGGATTCTCTGCGATGTATTCGCTCCGGTTAGATTAACGAAAGTAATTCCACCCGCGATTAAAACGCGATTAACGCGCGACAATTGTTGATATTGCGTAATTATTGCGATCGGTTTAGATATTCTTCTCTTTTTTTTTTTTCCTAAGTTCACTCATGATTATTCGTGATTTCTTTTCTCACGATCACTATACACGCACGATCTAGAGGTCATATCACGCCAGTAAATCGTTAAAATGTAATTCTGAAAGCCACGTGTGTTTCTTTGTTCCTTTGTGTTTTTTTTTTTTCTTCATAGGATTACTGGTTTCTCATTAAGTAGTTATTTCGTTATGAAGATACAGTTTTTTTTCTTTTTCTTTTTTTTCTTTTTCTTTAGCGAACGGACATAATGTGCAATGATTCGCGTAGTTTCGCATCGTCCATCGAACATTGGACGACGCTTGCGGTTCCGCGAACACAGCTGTAATCGAGCTTCTCTCATTAACATCGCGCATTTGTTTAGAGATT